TTCTCTGATGTGCTTAGAGATGTGTAAGTTGGTGGTTAGTGAACTGGCAATGCTTAACTCACTGGAAGTGAGGCGGTAGCAGGGGCCCCTCCAAGCCCCTCTGCTCTGAGCCATCTGTGCTGCAGATGGGCCTGGCGAGTTTCTTGCCTCTGCCTCCTCTCCTGCCCCATTTTGCCTCTGGCATGGTCCTCAAAACCCTGCTGGCTTCCTCTGTGCTCTCTCCTTGCTCCAGGTTTACCCAGAGCCCCAGCTGGCAGGGCGAGGAGGTAGGAGCAGGCGTGACTGACTGAACGACTGATGTGCTTGCAGCCCTGCTGCAGCTCACCCCAGGCAACACCTGCCCACCCCCATGTGGCACAGGACAGCAGACAAAGCGCTGCTGAACCCCATGGCCCTGTCACCCCTTTTGCTAAACTCCCCCCACGGCTACAACAAGCCACCTCCTTGTCCTCCACGTCATCATTTTCCACACAGGTCACTCATCTCCCGCCTCCTGCCCAACAAACTGAAGACAAAAACTGCCCCGTGCCCTGAGTATCGACGGGTTCCCAGTGCACCATCCCTTTGCCTAAGGCAGAGGAGGGGACCAGGACCAGCCGCCCCTTCCCAGCTGGTCTCTCCCCTCCCCATAGGGAAGAGCCCTGGAGAAGCTGCAGGTAAATCACAGCAATCACTGTCAGCTCCAAAGAGATGGAGAGGGCAGAGGCCAGGTTTTATTGTGGCTTAACTCAGTAATTCCTCTGTCAGAGGGCCGTTTTGGGGACAAATATGTTGTGGAGCTTTAGGCTATTCTTTGCGTAGAGAATATGGAAGTGGAAGCAGGAGATTCAGGAACAAGGGAGAACTTTTTCAAATTAAAGATGAAATGATCACTTGCAGACAACTGTTTAGGAACAACAAAATGGGAGTGCATCCCTCAGACCTGACTAGACACCAGTTGGTCCAAAACAGGTGACTGTGGTCATGTGTAGTCTTGGTCAAGAGCTAGCAATGAGTGACACAAGCTAATCCCATTTACATGCCAATGTACACTCTGCTTGTTCGAAGCACGGTTATCAGCATCCACGCTTATAAGCAGCATGGGTCTTTGTGTGTACAGAAGCTACAAAAATGTCAGCTGAACTTTGCCTGGCCAGCAGAGAGGAAGCACATACTCTGCAAAGGGTTAATCCTTAGTGCAGTTAAAATGGGTTATAATTCAGTTAAATGCCTGGACTATTGTCAGCCAGTTCTGTTCACCATCTGCAGAAAAAAAAATAGTTTTTCTGGCCAAATCCAAAGGGCATCTCCATTTCCAAAAGCTGGAGGAACTTGCAGTCATTTCGGAGAAGCGTCAGCACTGCCCTTCTGGTGTGGTTACAAATTGCAGAAAATCCCAGGGGAGCGGGCAGGGGGGAGGAATGTAACCCCGGGGAGCTCTGATTGTCTCCTGTGGACGCTGCACCCACAACAAGGACTTGAGCCTAGCCACAAGGTTGTGCAAGTCTCCTGACAACCTGGCAGCAAAAACAAAAACCATGCTGGAACTACTCTGACACCTGCCCCATCCTGGGAAGTGTTCAAGGTCGTTGGATGGGCCAAAAGCTGGAGGAACTTGCAGTCATTTCGGAGGAGCGTCAGCACTGCCCTTCTGGTGTGGTTACAAATTGCAGAAAATCCCAGGGGAGCGGGCAGGGGGGAGGAATGTAACCCCGGGGAGCTCTGATTGTCTCCTGTGGACGCTGCACCCACAACAAGGACTTGAGCCTAGCCACAAGGTTGTGCAAGTCTCCTGACAACCTGGCAGCAAAAACAAAAACCATGCTGGAACTACTCTGACACCTGCCCCATCCTGGGAAGTGTTCAAGGTCAGGTTGGATGGGGCTTTGAGCAACCTGATCTAGCGAAAGATGTCCCTGCCCACGGCAGGGGGGTTGGACTAGATGATCTTTGAAGGTCCCTTCCAACCCAAACCATTCTATGATTCTGTGATCTCTGTAGATGCAAGCTCTGACATTTTCTATTTCTGTGCACACATTGCTAAAAATAGTAATTGTTGTTAATGTTTCAGTTATTAAAATACATTCTTTCTTTACTTCCACCTTCGTGTTTCTTTACCTTTTTCTCCCACTTCTATCTTAATATCCTTTTCCCTACCAAAATTGCAACCAATAAAACTGGCTATGGAACAGCCAGAGCACGGCAGAGCACATGCACAGACAATGCCGAACCACTTAAGCTCCTAGATACAGTTTCAGTGATGGATAAGGGGGCTTAGTAAGGTGGTTCATTTTGCCCTGAGATGAGCAATATCCTGATCCCCTGTGAAAAACACAGCAAAATCCCTTTGGAGTCTGTGCCATTTGGATGAGGATTTTCTTACTTTTTCTTCAATTTTCTCTGAGAACATCTCCCCATTATCCTAGCCTGGACTTCAGGATAAAAATGGTTAAGGATGTCTCACAGAGAAACCTAAACAGAGGATTTTCAGGCAAACTCCCGGAACACTGACACAGTCTGAAGTGGGCAATGAGGAGATAAGAAAGTGTTTGGAGTTTACCTGGAATTCAGACTTTTTAATGCTGTTTCCTGTTCCTCTCTCTTTCTGCCTGATTGTCTCCCCTGAGGTCATGGGGCAGCAGCCCTGCAGCTGTGTCCAGATGTTGGGATTTAAGGTGTTCCTGTGACCAGCCAGTCACTTCCTCTGCAACAGATTCAGCAGGAGGGAAGCCCTGACCTGACCTCAGCAGTGCCAGTGCAAAGCTGGTGCCCGAGAGCTTCCACCCACAGCCCAGACAGAGGTAACTGGGTGGTGGAGGTGGCTCCTGCCATAAACCTGACTCCCAAGCCATGGGAGACACGGGCTCTGTGGACTTGTGCAACTGCTACACTGCTGGATTGCACTGGGGAGTTGACTTCTGCATTTATGACAGGGAAAAAAAATATCCATCCGTATTGAAAAATGATGGCAAAAAAGCTTATTCAGGTTTCGAGGTGAATCTTCCAGGATGGGTTGAGTTAAAACTCTGTGCTCTCTGTGAGGACTCAAATAACATTTAGGCAGAGCACAGATGACGTGATGTGTGCCTTGGTATGTGTCTGGAGTGAGAATTGCAATTCTCTGTGCAATTAAGCAGCTGGGATAAGTGTTCCTGCAGACAGAATTTGTTCTTATCTGGTACTGAGTAGGTTGATGATGGCGTTTCATGCCTGGCAATGCAAACTGGGAGGTGAGGAAGGAGAAACTCAAATGACCGATTCCTCTGAACGCACGCTGAGCTAAAGATGGTGATCGAAGCCCATTGAAGGTTTCCGTACCTTTTGTAATCGGTTATGAATAAACTAGGAGTACTGCAGAGCCAGGGCAAGTGGTAATGCAGGGCTGGGTAGGAGGAGGGATGGATGGCAACAAGGGAATGGGTCAGCAAGTGCAAGCCCTGTGCAATGGCCTCCCTGTAGTCCCTGGGACACGTCTGAGCACGGCCCACAGTTCCATATATCAGGTTTGTCTCTCTCAATATATAGCTTAGGGCTGAAGTATAACCAGAGGTTTCAACGGAGGTCCTATGGGAAGTCAAGCTGGGGTAAATCCTTTGGAGCAGTGATGTCAGGGAGTCACATATGCAGCCATCAGAGCCTGAATTTCTTTCTGTGGCTTGAACGCCATGACCTGCGATGTGCTGCCACTCCAGGATTGAGTTCATTTAGCAGTCCTGAAGTTCAGGAGATGTGTCAGAGAAAACCAGGGGAAAATCATACAAACGGAACAGACTCCAACGTGATTTTTCTGAGTTTTTTGCAGGGGAACAGGATAGTGGTCATCGCAGGACAAATTTAGCCACCCTATTCCTTTCAAGCTGATCAACAAAATCCATATTAAAAATGACCCTAAAATGGTGACTTCCACACTTGTAAACTGGGTGCAGTGAAGCCAGGGAATGAGAAAAATATTGCACAATTTATGCCACAATATCGTTTGTAACATCCGTCTTTTCCCTCTCTTCCAAAATATGCACTGACACACTTTTTAAAGTCCGTCACAGAGTACTTCATTTTTCTGTAGAGACTCAAACGTCTTAATATTCAGTAAACCATTTTTATGTACCACTGAGCTGGCTGAAAAACAAGGGGGTTTTTCCCTCTGGATTGAAATAAGGCAGACAGAGGATGTCAGGCTCAGCTGATTAGAAAGTCAGGCTTTTCTTAGTCTTGAAAGATTATTTATCCTTATAGATTTAAAGTCTCTTCAGTTGTGAAGAATTTAAAGAACGCTTTATATAAATGATGACATACAACAATATTTTAATTTGTAGGCTATGCAATACATTCACTTTATTATAGCCAAAATTATGACATGAATAGTGATGGTAAAGTAAGTATCTCAGAAAGAAAGCAAGAAAATATAAGAAGAACACTAGTGATTTTGGTGATGATAAGCAAGCTTTTCCAATTCAATGAGCTTCATCTAACAACTCATTTGTTTCAGTGACATGCCCAGTTATTTAGACTCATGTGGATACATGGGTGGTTTTCTCATTTTCTAGCTTTTTCTGTGTACACACATATAAATCTAGAAAATTAGGCAGCTTTTCCAGAGGCTTTTAAAATGCTGTCCTACTCTGATACTGTCTGTCTTTGATATTATCCTAGTCTGGTTTGTTTCTACAAAGCAGGTACTGCCACAGAAATGTTGAGTTAGTTCCAACTTTCGTTGCGATGGGAGGGGGCTTAGCAGCACAGCCAAAGCCTCCAATAGACAAATTTAGGTTATCACAGCAAGAGCAGAAGGAGTTCCTGAACCATCACATTTGAAGAAATTTCATAATTGTCCAAAACCAGCAAGCTCTGTGTGAAGTCCAAGCCCACCTTCTGAAAGCCAGGCATTAGCTCATAAAGGAATAGATGGTGTCTCTTAAGGGAAGCACAAACTATCAGAATTTAAGCAAGTTAAAAAGAGGAAAATATTACTTAGGGATCAGATCTGATGGCTAAGACAATTAGGTTGATTAAATGTCAAACTCTTAAGAGTTTTCTGTCAAAACACTCCTTTGCCAGGGTAGGAACTTTGACAAGTTGGTGTATACTCCGTATTTCCCTCGCCTTCCACACCCTTCTCCCCAGATGATACCAGTAACAAAATAAGTGCCATTGTATTTGGTTACATGGGGGCCTCCTCCATCTCCTTGGCAGACATCTTTTCCATCTTTATCACAACCAGCACAGAACACGTTTTCCTTGACCGGGCTACGAAGGGCGAGCTTGCAAGTGTCCCTGTCCACAAAAAGGTTTTGAAGCACTTTCATTCTTTTGACCCGCCGCGCACATTCAAATGTGTTTCCAAAGCCACTGACAATTCCAAATGTTTGGTTCATCAGAACATCATTGTTAGCAAAGTCTTCTTCTGGAAGGCATGCTGGGACAACATCCTCAGAAAATGTGATAGGTTCCTCTAATTTGAGAAGGGCTATGTCACTGTTGAAAGTTTCTGTACCAAATTCAGCATGTGCAATTATTTTTTCCACTCTGCGCGTGGCTCTACTTGGCTCTTCCTTTTCTTTGTCCACCATCCCAGTGTCAGATTATTAAAGCAGTTGTTCATAAGACAATACCAACAAGTCTACACTGCATCTCAATAAAAGAAGGGACCAAAGTTTCTTGCACTTTGTATAGGCATTGTACTGTACAAATAAAATAGACCAGGCCTGTATCCTGATGCTGTAGCATTTTATACCCATTTTGGAACGGTTTAGAGGGCTGTCAAAATGCCAAGCAAGTAGAAAATCAGAACTTTGCTATCAGAATAATGCTCTCAATGAAAGCTTTGATATAAAGTTTTGGGCTTCGTTACAATATTCCCAATGGCACTCTTATGATATACAACCAAAAGCCTCAACACAGAAGAGAAGGATCTTGCCCCTCTCATTTGTAGAGCGACATAGTCAAACAGACTTAAACAGCAAGTAGATATTAATTTTCTTTTAAAACTTTAATGTTCTGCATACAAAAATTTATGAATTTATATATATTTAGTCTTTCTCAATTTGTATGACGTCGCTTTGGGAATTAAATGGACAGACAATTGGAGTTTAGGCAAACACAGTTTTTGCTTTACTGTTGTAGGCCGAGTACAATTTTTATGACTCAGAACACCATTTTTCAGTGCCTAGAACTTCTGATAAACTACTTTTTCATAAATGACAGTAATAAATAATAGATTTGAGGTTTCAAGTATGGAAAAGTCTCAGACTAGCGTCTACATGCTGTTAAAGCAGCTATTGCTAACATCCAAATGAGGCGTCTGGAATTCTTCAAGGTTTGGCCAACACAGGAAATTGCATGAAGGTGTAATGTTAGACCAATTTAACGACATCAGCTCAACCTTACTTGCCCACATACCTTTCCAGTTTATACTTGGCTTCTCTCATATACAAGCTACGCTAGGCCAAGCCAAGCTTAAAGAAACTGTCCATTCAACAAAGTTGAACATGTATTTCACTGTTAGTCAAGGGACAACGTGAGGCAGTGAGAAATAACAAGAGGGTAAGAAAAACTCTGGCAGAGTTCAGTATCTTGCATATGGAGACTAGAACATGAAACAGTTTCTTATTTTTGTAGTAAAGGGCAAAATGAGAAGCACTTACTAACAAGAACCCGTAAGTCTGGTTAATGCAATAAGCTCCAGAAAGCAAAATACCCGTTCAGAATTGTCCCCCCACAAAACTATTCATTGTACTCATCTACTAGTAGAACAGCCTGCAAGGAGAGAAAAGAAAGATAAAGCACAAAAACATACGTACAGAGAAATGCTGAACAGCTAGCCGAGATTCAAGCAGTTTTCTTAAAGTATACATTTTCATACGTATTTTCTGTCAAAGGCATCCTTCATTCAGAGGTGGTGAGAGTTACACTGAGATGTAGCCACCACAGCGGGAAACTTGTCAAGACAGACCTTTTTCCTGGCTCACAGCGGAGTCTGTGCATTCAGTTATTTTACCAACAGTTTTTGGTTCTTATTTTTTTAAACAGAATTTAGTTAATATTGTAATAGCACTGTTCCTGCTGGGTTGGTTGTTTTTTTTTTCACTTTAGTCTTGGCCACATCAGGAACTCTGGCTATTCTTCTGATACCGCCACGCTGCAACCCGAGTAACGGGGTGGCTGGCAGGGAAGGGGCCCTGTGGCTCACCCAGCTCTACGTCCCTCATCTGCAACCCTACTTCTCTGCTGGCCTCCCCCTCTCAGCATTTGCTTGATGCTGAAATGGAGGCACAACGTCATTCATGGTAGGAGACCTGTGCAGAAACACAGTACTCAGGAGAGCATAACGACCACCCAAAATGTTGACACCAGGGAAGTGTCTCAAATCAAGCCAGGTCCCCTTGGCAAGTGGGGATGAGGGATGAGTATGATGAACAGTAAATGGCTGCCGGTCCTGGTGAGCAGGGTCAGGTGTTAAACATCTCAGGACAAGGGCACCTTACCTGCCATGGGGACGCGCTGGGTAAACTGCCAGCCTCCCCGGTGACCTCTGGGTGGCTGCTCGGGGCCTCGGTGGCTTCCTCATTTTCAGGATGAGCATCTGGACTTGCTGTGGTTCCTGTGACTTTCTCTCGACTGGCTTCATGATTTCTCTGAAGCTTACCACACAGGAACTTGACTGCGAAGGCAAAACCGAAATGCTAACACTTGATGTCTGGGTGGTACTGGGACTTTGAGGCACGTGTCGCATGCTGAGAGCAAGGCATTCCTGTCCATAACCCTGAGCAAACAGCTGTGAAGGCTCAGCTGCTGTTATCGGCCTTCACTTTAGCTCAGAGCTACCTTTCTTGCCGATTTAAGCGAATTTATAGGATGTGGAGAACCATGGTCTTCCGTCTCTGTGGGGGACGGTGCCTGTGCTGTCCCTGAAGCACCAAGCCAAGTCACATGCAAGGGATAGTAACCTGCAGCAGAGCAGAAGGAAAGACAGTTGCTGGTGAAAAGAATTTCTATCACCGAAGTGCCATTCAGCAGAGCTTGTCTGACAGAGCCCTCGGTATAAGGGACAGTTTCACGGTCAGAAAAGTAAATCTAGCTTCCAGTGCACCGCGTGTTGTTCTTCACCACAAGAAATTATTCAAACCTGCTGGAACATGGGTTTTGCAGCCAAAAGCAGCCTTTAGAGTTACAGATAGGTACCTATAGTGGAGGAAAATGGTTTGCAGGGAAACAGGTTGCCTTCAGGGAGTCAACTCTTCATGAAAATGAGAGAAAACTCACTTAACAGTTGAAGGAAAACTCCTTGACAGCAGCCTTTTGCAATTGAATTAGATATGCAGATGTCCTTATCAGGGGTGGCTCTGCTAGATTTTTCAAGACATCAACAAAAACTTTGCAACTGCAAAAGGACCAGAATGGTTGAAAAATAAAAATAATTTTCCACTTCTAAAACTTGCCCATTTTGAGCAAGTGGGCAAATGGGTTCAGCATTTTCAAAGTATTTAGAAGTTAAACATCTTCCGTTATTGGCATCATTATTTTTGTGTATCTGCTGTTATTAAATCTTTTGTAAATGGGAAACAGAGCAAAGTATTCTATGTTAGGAATTATAAGCTCATGACAGCAATTTGGTATTAAATTACAAAGGACATCATAACAAATATCATCAGACAGACAGAAGAATAGACTAAGATTAATAATTGTTAATGTTCACTTTGAATGCAGGCAAAACTGATGGATTTAAATTCAATGTCAATACTTATTCATATCTTTAGGTTACTATATGTTAACTGCAGAAAACCTGCTTTTAGAAGTAAATAGAAAGGCAGGTTGTATTCCTTTTAAATGGAACAGGTGATATTTGAGGGGAAGCAAGTGAGATATAACTGCAATCACATTATGTCATTACCGCTGAAATTATAATGAGCCCTTGTGAACTGTATATGGTAAAGGGAGAAGTTTCTTGGGTCCCTATTCCTTTGGATCTGTAGGTGTCCGGCACAAGCTGGAGGCCTTGAAAACAGACACCAGTTCACACCAATGATAAATCTAACCCGTTCCTTTCTAACAAAATCTCCTAAAGCATGAGAGACGTAGAGACCTGTTTCAGTCTGTGAGAGAAGAGAAATCAGAGCCCCATTGTAATCACCAGTTTCTCATATGGCTTCATACCTGCTGGGACACGGGTTTTGCAGTCCGCTGTGAGAACGCACCCACTTGCACAGAACACTCCGGTGCACTATTTTTGCCACTGCACATCACTCACAGTTGCACAATTTGATGTTTCTTAAATTATGACCTTTAGCTAAGATCTTATTAACTTTGTTGGCAACACCTCAAGCCAGCCATGTGAAAGGCGTGAACAGTTAACATTATTCTCTGTGCTACAACGGCACTGCAACACACCAGCACTTCCCAAACATGGTGAAGATGGGATGTGTGTCCCATAGAATGAACTTTAAGTGTGGCTTCGTACCTACAGGAATGCAGGTTTTGTTGTCATTGCCCAGGGCATAGCCAGCAGCACAGGAACATAGGACTTCATCTTCAGTTTTGCAGAACCGCTCACAGTTCCCGTTGTTGACCTTGCATGCATTTGGTGTGACTGCCCAGGAGACAAATGTATAGGCAGGTTACAAATTCATGGTGATTTCATAAAAGCACAAGCAGCTCATAAAACCTCGCTTGCAAACATTAGTCAAACACTCCACCATTTTGGGCAATTCTGTGCAATTCCTGCCAAAGGCCTTAGTAATAAGAACAGTCGTGACTATCATTATTAAAAAATGGTAAGCTGTCAACATTAGGTAGACCACTATTATTTTACATCTTATGCTGTGTTTCCCAGTTATAACTGGCAGGTCTTTGAGAGCAAAGGAAGCGACAATCTGTACTTGCCAGAACAGCCATCGTACTAAGGCAAAGATGAACATGGGTTTGGGTAAGAGGCTAAAATCAGCAACAACTTAAGTATCAGTAATAAATTAAGTATTGGACTCTTGGTAGACCCTTGCAATATTCCTTTTCCATCTGTATATGTCTCATACTACTCACCTTAGCTCAGTCCCTGGCATTGCAAGATCACAGGCAGAATGGGAGAGCTCTTCTCAGCACTAACAGTGTGAGAGCAAGGAGAGGTAAACCAGTCCTAACAGATGCTGTCTAACCTGTTTCTACAGATTCACAATGAGATTCTGCAGCTCACCCACGCAGCCTAATCCACTCCTTAACTAGCCTCATAATGTCTAAAAAGTGTTTCCTAATATCCTGAGTGTCCCTCAGTGTGGTGTGATCCCATTACTTCTTGACCTAGCTGTTTATCCTAGTGAAAATGGAGACTTCTTGCTTTTATTACATATTTTACAAATTTCCTTGGTTGTGTATAGTGGGACTGAGGGTGAAATTTTGTTTTTGTGTTTACTGATTTGCCTCCTATTTATGTTGGACCACTGTTCCAGTTTCACAAGATCGTCTTGAACTCTCATCTTGACTTATGGTAGTCCTTCCAGTCTGGAATCAGCTACAAATGCAGTGAGTAAACACTCTCTTCCGCCTTGCATGTCACTGTGGAAAACACCAAGTATCAGAGGTCCTCAGGCTCACCTGTGTGGAGCCTTGCACTCCATATAATCTTTCAAGTGACTAGCGCAGTTTCCCAACCAGATGTGCACCAAACTTACAGTAGTTTCATCCAGACCAGTGTTTCTGTTACAATAAAAGCATTATATAAAGTGATGTTAGAAGCCTCCCTTAATGGAGACACCTGACATACACTGCATCTTTTGCAGCCACCCAGCCTGTTATCCTGTCCTTGGAGGAGGTTGATGTTACGTGATTTGGTCCCAACTAGTGCAACTCGGCAGTTTCTTTCCTCCTTGTTGGACACAGGTAATCTGGCACCTTAAGGAATAAAGATTTTCTTCTCCATTAGGAACAGACTAACATTTTCCTTGGTCTCTTTTCCATTATCCATATACTTAGATCAGCTCTTGATTTTCACATCATGTTTATCTTATTGTATTTGCTCCTTAGCTTCTCTGGGTTTATGCCAGGATGTCTGCAATTCTTTTACACAGATCCAGATTTTTCTATACTTCCTTCTGGAGGTCAGGTCATGAAGGAGGTCATGTCTTTAATTAATCCTCCTGTCCTTTCTTGACCTTGGGATAGTTTGGACATGTGCCTTAAACACTTTGGGTTTTTGTGGTTTTTTTTAAGGAGCAGCCAAATCTTTCTCTCATTTAAAAATACATTACTTTTATTCTCTTGTTCTTTTTCTTTACTTCCTTCATGAGCTCTGTCATTTTACAGTTACTTTTATTAAAGTAATCGTCTATCTTTGTATTGTCAGCCACTTCTGGTCTGTTGGTTAAAATCAAATGTAGATTAGCGCACTCCAAATTGCTTTCTACATGTTTGTAAGAGAAAATTTTCCTTGAAGCATCCTGAAGACTCTCAGGGCATGCCTTGTCCCACTAAGTACCTTTCCCACCTCGTCTCTGGCATGCCAAAATCTCCCTCTTACTCCCAGCTCTTGTAATGTGGGTGACTCAGGTGTTTGTTCAGTTGTGTCCAACCAGTCCTCTGTAATCACTGAATGACTTTTACAGCAAAATTAAACAAGGCATGCATCGTGTCTGCAGTATGATTCACACACGTACTCTGTAGAGAAGCATCTCAGGCTCCAACCTCAAAGACAGGTGGGACGCTTCCTCAAGTGGAGATGTGATGTTTGTGTTGAGATTTAGACAAGCACAGTAGGTGACAGTGTGGGGTTCTGGTTCCCCTCTGCACTGTTAAACCTTGTGGGGTTCATTCTGTCACCCAATAGCTTCTGAATGGATAGTAAGGATTATTTAATTATCACATCTCTTAAGGATGTGAAGAATAGCACATTGTTTGTGCTGTCAGTTTGAAAGCCCTGCATACTGACGTATTAACCCCATATTTTACACTGACACAATAGTTTCCGTCCAAAATGTTGTTCCCCTAATGACTAAGCCCTGGATATTATTGCACTGCAGCAGACAAATGGGAGCAATGCAGGTGAGAAAGCAAAGCTACCAGGTTTCCACTCATGTCACCCTGGTCCACAAAGCACAAATAATGGCAAATAATTACCTGTGTGGTTTAGGCAAAGGCTGTACCTGCCTGCACCATCTGAAGGAAAAGGAGGACAATGGGAAGAAGCCACATTTTCCAGCGATGACCTGCCATTGCTACCCTCCAAGCTCACTGTGCATCTCCCACTGGTTTCTCTGCAGGACTTGGGGGAGCTGCTAAATGAGAAACAATACAGTGCAAAGGTCATTAACTCATGAGAAAACAAAACCTCTAAGAGCAAAGCCTGGGCTCAATGTCAGCATGGGGCAATGTTAAAACAGAAAAAAGTCACTGTGCTGCAGCAATGCCACCCTAATAGCTTGCAGGCGCCTCGTGTCGGCAAAGCCCCTCTCTCCTGCATGGGCAGCATGGAGCTAGGTTTGCCTCCGAGGCTGTGACACCTGTGTATTTCAGACTCCTCGGGAAGAGGGGAGTCCATAAACCAAGGCAGGTTCTGCCTCAGCAGAATAACATGTGGTCACGTGGTTAAACTTGGTTATGCTACCAAAACTCCAGATACCAGACTGCCACTTGGTGATTTCCTCTGCAGGACCATGGACTACTGCTATCTCCTTTCACCCTGTCTGCTGCAGGTGGCTCTACATCTTTGGGAAATATGGACAAAGCCTCCCTAAAAGAGCTTTACTAGCCAGGCAGCAAGGAGCTAGAGTAAGTGATCTGGCTGTTGCCCATGCCCCAAGGAAGACAGAACAACCAGAGCTAGAGGTTTGTGCTTCCCACAAGCTGGGCAGAAGCAGGAAGGCGTCTCAGAAGTCAGGAGTGGCTCAGGGCACCAAATTTGCAGAGCTCAGTAAGCATATTGCAGAGATCTTGCCTCCCAGCTCTGGTAGTGCCTTAGGAAGCAAGTAAAGCTAATCAGAACGTGAAAAAACAAGAAGGAAAATTCAGGCTTTTTTCTGGGCTAGGCCTGTAAGGTATTGTACAAGGTTTTGGTCTCTGTTATTCCAAATCACTGTAGTTTGAAATGCTTTAGGTAGGGTGAAATTGATTGTCATGCTGGTAGGTGAAGCCTTTGAATCCAGTGGAGCTGGTAAGCAGGTACCCTGTACAGATGCAGCAGGCTGGATGGGGCCTCTGGGACACACAGAATCCATCTCTGTCACAAGCACCAGGCCAGACCATACTTTCACAAATTCATCAATTTCCACCTTGTTCTGGATGGATTTTTTTTTTCTGGCTCACACCACTCCATAGGGACAGCTGTTGACAGGGCCTTGTGATCTGGGGCCCTGCCCATAGAAGACAACCCTGTCAGGTGAGTCACCTATGTCAGGGAGCAGTAAAGAGGAAGGAAAACCTTGCCTGTTATTACTGTGCTGGCGCAGGTGACAAATGCATGACCGTAACAATGACCCTTTGCTTGTGTTGCTCACCTGGAAGCACAGAAAACAGGGGCTGGCAAGACCTCCAGGATCACCCAGCCCAGCTCACTGAGCCAACAAGGGATCAAGTTTACCTCTATCATTCTTGGCATGTTGGCCAAGGCTCCAGCGAAGGATCCTTCTGGTAAATTGCTTCTAGTTAGACACCGCACCTGCAAAAGTGTGTTTTCCTGCCGAGCTGTAGGATACCATAACGAAGGCCAGCTTGTCCACCTTCATTCCCTAGGGCAGCCCCCATCATGCTACACGCCTGACAGCTAGTTACCTCTCCTGCTCTCAAAGACTACCAACATTGGAGACTTCACTGCCCTCCAGACAAAAATCTATTAGAGGGCTTTGCTAGTCACAGAGTTAGAAGATTTTCCCTGAGATCTCCCTGAACCTTTCTCACTGCAACTGAGATGTGCTATGTCTTTTTATCTTCACCACCAACATGAAGAACAGATTAGTCCCTACATCTCTGCAGCAGCCTTTTGCACACACAAAGGCTATAGCTATGTTTCTCCTCAGGCCTTCCCTATTTTAGTCTAAAGAAGCCTAATTTTTTTTCAAAGCCCAATGCCTCATGCACAAGAGTTTCTTGCCCAGATATATCATCTTGGACTAGGCCTGAGCAATGTCCTACATTTTTATTCTTCGTATTAGTCCTTTCCGAAGACTCAAAGAGATTGCACTCTTTACTGACCATTCTTCCTTTCTTCCCTTTCTTCTCAGGACTGGCTTTTCCTTGAAGGCTGAGGAAGCCTGAGCACTAGAGGGTAGGTTAGAGCTTTTCCTTCCACCATCCTTGGTAAATGTCAGCTCTTGCCTAAACCAGCAGTGTTTGCTTGCCGTGAGGGGTTCTGGCATTTTAAAACCCACGCAGTTACACAGCAGCTGTGCACTCTACCTTTTGCCTGGATTTTACAATCTGTTCAAATTTCACTATGTGAAATTACCCCAAAACAATGTCTACATAAAAAGGTGTGCTTTAATTCTTTCTTTTCTTCCAGGCCCTAGAGTTGGTAATGGGCTTTGGTACGAGGCCAAGATGCAAGCAGATGTTTCACTCATTTCCTCTCAGCATGGCAGAGACACTGTTACAGAACAAGGAATGAATATAAAGCCCTTGAGCCTTGGGCACTATAGGTGCCATGGCACAGGATGAAAGGCTCTCTAGGAAACAGTTTCATTTGTAAAAGACAAGTAAACTCCAATTGCGAACCCCAAGGACAAAGTCTCTCATACTCCATGGAATAATGACGCTTCTCTTCTAAGCACAGTCATGTTGCACACAAACATGGACTTTCATCACTCTCTTGCATGCTCATCTGTTAAACCAGCTCTGTGCCTGCTCTCAAGGTGCTACTTGGCTTAACAAGGACATATATACACACCAGCTAGTAAAACCCAGCTACTGCCACCGTTGCCAGAGGGAGGTCCTCCCCTCAGCCACCTCAACACCCTATATAGTCCACTCTGAGTTTCACTTCAGTCCTCAGGCTTCACTGAAGTAGAAGAATGCCTTTAGCACAAGTACATTAATAGGTTTTGGGTAGCACCTAGGCCTGAGGTTGTCCCTTTGAAGAGGGATGTTTCACCCTGATGGAACACAGGGCAGGCTACCAGCGGGACAAGGGATTCGAACAGGAATCCAGTGGACAGAACAAGTCAGGGAACAAACATTGCTGAACAAACATTGAGGTAAGCCTGCTGGGGGTTTATACAGGTGGATACCATCAAGCTGGGGTAACTGACCTGCAGTCCTTCCTGCCCACATTTACAGCTGACTGCAGCAATACCTTGCTCCTGTGCAGAGTTGTATGTCTAGTTTTTCATCCCGGTTTGCTCACATCACCTGCTATACAAAACTAGCCAGTACCAGCTCAAACCCTAAGAGATAAGTAGCAGGTGTCTGGCGAAGTTCAGTGTACCTCAGACAACAGGGGAGCATAACAGATTGGCGGAGCCTTGGAAAGGCCATCAGGAGCACATGATGTACAGTAACAGGCTGAGGGGTCTGGGTTTGTTCCGCTAGGGAGAGCTGGGGGATTTAACTGCAGTCTTCCACTGCCTAAATGGGGATTACAGTGAAGACAGGGCCAACAATTTCCCAGAGATGCCCATGGAAAGAAGATGAGGCAGCAGTCAGAGGTTTCAACAAGGAAAATTCCAATTGGACATGAGAAATTTTGGCCATGAGAGTGCTAAAGCACAGGAACAGGTTGCCCAGAGGCTAACAAAATCTCTGCTTCTGAAGATTTTCAAAACTTGACTGCACCAAACCCTGCACAACCTGCTCTTTGATGTTAGCCCTGCTTTAAGCATGGGGTTGGACAAGATCACTTTCATCTGTCCCTTCCATTGTAAATTCTGCCATGATTTCTGTAACTAGGACTGAAGCTGAGAAGGTTTAAAGAAGAATATAGGGAGGAACACTATTCCACACACAAAAAAACATCAGAGTGCGGAGCTTCTGCCTGGAAACCTTACAGGACAGATCAGATCATAGCACCTGAACAGCCTATGTGTGGGAAATCACTGGTTGAGTTTGCCTACTTCTAAGAAAATTAGTATCTTGGCATCTAACTTGCCATTTATGAACCTCTAGGCCAGTGAAAGTCTTGTAATTACCCCCTCCATTCTCTACCTCCTCATCAGCCTTGACATAAGGTAGGTGAAATGTGTCACACATTTGTTTAGGGACATTCACTCTTTTTTTCACTCTCAGATGAGATTTTGTCTTCATGTATTTGTAAGCTGACTGGAAGGAATAAATAAAAAAAACAAAAAAGAAAGAATGTTTTATTTCAAATGCTGGTGTACATCAATATTGCACCTTACAGAAACACCTAGAACAAGTACACATGCAAGGACCTTTCCAATCCTCAGCCATACACAATCCAGAATACAATACAGAAAACAGTGAACGTGCACATTTTTTTTTTCTGATGAGCAGAACAGAAGTATTCAAATTAAACTAAAGTGAAGTACAACCCATATAAAGCAAAACCCCATTTTAATTAGCTGCTGTGACCTAAGCAGGCAATTTTGTGGAACATGTGGTTATTTAGCATCACATGTTGAATACTTACTTGTGTCTCAGCTTTTACCAAGCAAGCTTCCCTGCTCCCTTAATCTTCTAAATACATCTCCAGGTACATGTTAAACAGCTCTAGTAGTAACAAACTCCCTACTGAGCCAGCTGGCTCCAATATGAGGATTAACTGAAGTCTTGTCCTTCCCACTTTCATCATGATTAGTGGAGGCTCGTATTATGTCCAGGAGCCTCTGGTGGAGGCACTTGGGCAAACAGACAGGAACTGAAATGGCAATATAAAAATAATGAAACAGCAAACAAAAGACCTCACTGAGCAGCCATTTTGTTTGGGGAAAGCCCCTCATTGTACAAATTCAAAATAACACCAGCAGTCCGCATATACATGCTTAAACCCAGGAATAAAACAAAAAAGAAGCAGCACCATAACTTTAAGCAATCAGCTCTCAAAACAAGCTTAGCAGATGGGGCTAAAAAAAGAAAAAAGTTTCCATTACAGAAACTGCACCTTGTTAGCTAACAGAAGGATCAAGAGCCACACCACTACAAATTTTGTCTCATGACCACTCTTACCCATCGTAAGAACCTGGACAGTTTGGTGTAGACACCATATTTGCCTTTCTTTGCACATCCTTCTCCCCAGCTCACAATTCCAGTAACAAAATATGTATCCTTATATCTGGTTACATGGGGGCCTCCACTGTCTCCTTGACAAGCATCTTTTTGCTCTGTTTCATAACCGGCACAGAACATGTTTTCTGTTATCGCAAAGTTAGTGGATTGCTTGCAGGTGTTCCTATCAACATAGGGGACTTCAAGCACTTTCAGTTTTTTGGATAGTCGTCCACCTTGGAATTCACGCCCGAAGCCACTAACCATCCCAGATCTTTGGTTCATCAGAATTTCATTAGCAAAGTCTGCTTCGGGGAGGCATGCTGCGATAATGTACTCGGAAAACGTTACAGGTTCCTTCAGCTTTATTAAGGCTATGTCATTATCGTAAGTCTCGGCAATGTATTTAGAGTGAACAAGTATTTTGTCCACGGTATGCATCGTTTCAGATTGTTCTTTCTTTTCTCTGTCCACTTCACCTGTACAAGATTATTAAAGGGGTCATTAATATGGAGATAGTATAAGAAATTAAGAACAACCTTGATAAAGGAGGAGAGTAGTATACCTGTTCCTAACACTTTGCCTAAGCCTTTATACCATACAAGTAAACTGTAAAAACGTATTGCAGCACCTGGATCAGTTTCAGTTCCAAGCTTTTGTCTATGGAGATTTTTGTACCAGTTTACATAAAAGCATAAACTGATTCAGCTAAACTAATGCAACTTTGGGTGGAAGCTCTTACAGGAGCTTGAGTCTGGCTTATATCAGGGAAGAGAAACTGGTCTGGGTCAGGGCTAAAACAGTGCAAATATGAAGTTGAGTTGATCTAGTATCATGCCTCAGAAGTGAAGCAGTCATAATTTGAGTTTGTTTCTTCTTCCTGTAGTCAATGTGTCATAGCTTTCCTGAGTGTTCCTGCAGAAACAAATCTGTATGCCTCAGATGTGCCAGGAATGATAAGCTTTCTGAAGAAGCACTACTCTAATGAACACAATGCTAGCCAACACTTCTAGAACATTTGTTCTTAATCACTTCCAACTAGCTGGCAAAGAAGGGATGCACCATTATCACCTCCCACATCAGCTGCCCCTGTTATTACAAAGCAGGATTCCCACAATAACAAGAAATTATGAAAAGCAAAACAACAACAAAAAAGTAACAAACCATAACAAATAAAGTAATATGAGTACATCTCACACGAGATTTAGAGCACAGAGGATTAGTCTGCAACACATGCTCAAACATCACAGGAGTAAAATAAATAACCACTTACCAACAACAACTTTGATTTCTTTAGATTGGTTCATGCAATGAGCTGCAGTAAGTATAAAATTTTCATTCAAAATAGTTCCACCACAAAACTCTTCCCCTGCCTCGTTCAACAAAACAGCCTGGGAAAGAAAGGTGGTTGGTGCATTATTAAGAGGAGGAGTTTAACGTCAATGAGCTATAAACAGGTAATTGATTTCTCTGCACACTGCATATATGCTTATTACTGCAACATGGACTACCCTGCAGGTCTCTCCTAATACTGCATTCCCACACGCATATGCTGAAGATTGGCATGTAC